GTAAATATGGCCAGTGTAAACTCACTGCAGAAATGGTTTCCAAATTTGAAAAGTTTTTTAATCAAGTGCCACTGTATCAGCATGACGTTGTTTTTCCACAGATGCATTTGAAACACCCTTAAAATTTAGGCTAGAGTAGAAAATAAGACTAATTTAGAACAAATAAAGGATGTGGAAATTGAGAATCAGGAGGCAAAGATCAGTTTTAGCTAAGGATTTTCAGCTTTGGGGCACACCTGGGAAGGAAAACTTGTCAAAAAAGTTTCCTGTGTGAGTTCTGTGGGCTCTGAAGATGGCAGTCTATACAGCAGAGCACTCCTTATTTCAGAAATTTAAAACAATAACTAACACAAGTGTCTGCACCTATCTGCCCTGGTATTTGTTACCCACTCTTCCACCTCAGATAGAACTGAAGGTTGGGGTGAAAGTTACAGGAAAATACATTTTTATTATATGGTCCCATTTTTACATTCATGCTTGAGATTAGCCAGACAAAATACTTGTAGATCAGGAAGAAATAATGGTTTTGTACCTGGAATTAAGAAACGATTCTGACCCTACAGCAGATCAAAAGTTAATTGAGCATGGAAGGAGATAAGATGATTAATGAAAGACAAAAATCTACAGGCCTTTGATTTGGGCAAAGCCTGGAGGCTTTTTATAAAAGCAACAATAAACCTTAGACAGTTGAGTCAAGAAAACAAAAAACAAACAAACAAACCCTCAAGAAAAACAGCACATTAAACCCAGCAAGAGTCACTGAAAATCAGCATTAATTAGGTTTAGGAGTATTGTCATTTTAGGCGCTGCATGTCACAGCTTAAGGAACTACCATGCTCAAGTTTGCAGTTATGTGGTACAATGCGTAAGCCAAACTCAGAAATGAGCACTGCCTAGAAGAGCTGCAACAAGGAGATTAAGGAGGGGAAATTTGGAGGACCATGCACATTTGTAAGAGAAGATACATAAGCCAGCAGGACACAAGGCTCCATGTGTGAACTAAATTTAAAAACAAGGTTGGCAGGAGCAGAAGGTTTACACTACATATTAAGTACTTTTGTATACACATGTATAACTGTAGGAGTTATTATTCCAGTGCCCTTGGGATAGTTGACTAGCATGTAGCTAGGTTGTGTTTGTACACACACACACCCACCCCAAAAGCTCAATATATCACACAAAACTTATGCAATAGCAAAAATTGAAATGCTGAATCTAGATTACTTGAAAATGAGAGTGTAAAGCTCAATATAGCACACAAAACTTATGCAATAGCAAAAATTGAAATGCTGAATCTAGATTACTTGAAAATGAGAGTGTGGTCACTTCTTGCTGGAAATGGTACAGAAAAATGAATTCGTTTTAGGCTCATGTAGTCTTTGGGGTGTTGGAAGGAAAGACTATACTCAAGTGCAGTGCTCTAAAGATTATTGGTATAAAGAGATGTTTTGCAGCTGCTACCCTCTGTTCAGAAGGTAAACCTAGATATGTAAACTGGCAAATAGGACATCATAGCAAGAATAAGATTGCCAATTTTCTAACTACACACAACTTGCCCCGTCTCCGCCCCCTTCCAAGGACACACTCCTGCCCCACCCTTGACCAAGGCTCCACCCCCACTCACTCCATTCCCCTTCCTCCATCACTTGCTCTCCCCCACCCTCATTCACGGGGCCAGAGATGAGGGGTTCAGAGTGTGGGAGAGGGTCAGAGCTGAGACAGGGAGTTGGGGAAGTACAGGCTCTGGGCTGAGGGTGCATGCTTCATGGTAGGGCCAAAAATGAGGGGTTAGTGTGCCGGAAGGAGCCTGGGGTAGAGGGCTGTGGTACAGGAGAGGGTTAGGGCTTCACTGGGGGTGCAGGTTTTGGCATGGGGGCCAGGAATGGTTTGGAAAGGAAGAGGGGGCTCCAGACTGGGATCAAGGGATTTGGAGTGTGGCAATGGGCTTCTGGATAATGGGAACCAGCACTCAGAACAGAAAAGGGGAAGCACAGGACTCCCCTGTGGCCATCCCTCCAGCTAGGAGCTGAGGGACATGTTGCCACTTCTGTGGAGCACATGGAGCCAGATAGGGAGCCTATCAGCCCCATTATAGTGGGGCTTTTAATAGCCTGGTCAGTGATGGCCAGATATGCCAGGGTCCTTTTTTGACCAGGCATTCCAGTCAAAAGCCAGACACCTGACAACCCTAGGCAAGGGATTGAGCACTCTCCACGTCCATTACCACATCTGTACAGAAAATGAACTGTCCTAGCCACATCTCAGCTGCAATGTGGAAATTGGAAACTAACAGGTAGACGAACAATTAGTCACATCCAGTCGTGTCACTTGATATTGTCAGCTCAATAAGTGACCAGTTATGGAAAAATTATATAGTTGTATGTGTGTACAGTGAACCTCCTGTTAATGTAAAATGGGAGAAAAATGCTTCACGCCATCCTTTTCTTACAGGGAGTGGTTAAAGGAAGGCGATAGGGCAATAGGTTAAGACGTCACTAGAGTTCCACTGCATACACGCATTCCAAGAGTGTAGCACACTGCTCTCAGGATAAACATTTCAGGGCAGCTTAAACAGTGTCCTTTTACTATCAGGGCAACTCCCATGAGAAATCTGTAAACTACTTCATGCAGGAAACCTTTCACACTTCCACCTCTTGCAGAGCTAGAGACATCTTCACTACCACAAAGGCATGATCCAAATGAGCTGCTCAGCATCTCAAATCACCCTCGGAGGTGAATGGGGATTACACCTGCTGTGGACTTAGGATCAAGTCCAAAAGGCTACTACAGCAGCCTTCTCTCCACTAGAATGTGATCCTAAAAACAGTAGCTTGGAGGAACAAGAAAGCTTTGGGAAAACTGATGCAAGCTTGAAGAGACCAAAGAAATGAGTATGTGTTAAAGTTAGTTTCTTGTGAGGAAGATTAATCTAGGAGGTCTACAAAGTAGCTGATTGGAGTTTATTTTTTAAAAAGTTGAACACGAAGTTTTGCAGAGTAGTGTATCTATAAGGTGATAAGATAGATTCACTGTTCTCTCCTGCCCTCCTTACTACGGTTTGTTGGCCAAGAGCCCATCCACTTCAATTTGTAATTATCAGTGTTTTTCTACCATCATAAAGTATTTTAAGTTATTGATTTGAGCTTTTTGGAGGAGTAATACATTAAGGAAACAGAAATTATACCATACTTACTGCCTACTGAAACCCCACTTGCAAGTTGTGTTACACATTTAAAAAAAAATAAATAAATAAAAATAAAAGAGTTAACTGTGTTACACATTAAAAAAAAAAAAAAAAAAAAAGAGTTAAATGTAGTAGGAACACCCATTCTGAAACTGTTCTCTCTCTTGTGAATTATTAGGCATTGGAGTTAAATGTGGAGGATAAGGTCCTGTTATAGACCAATCTACTTAGCATGAGGGCAAAAGCCATGTTCTCCTATCGAGGGAAGGTGTTAAAATTGTAATGGACTTTTGCATTTTTAGGCAGCTTTGTAATTTGGGATAGGATCTCTTCACAGCTTTGCATGCAACAGTCTCCCTGTCTCACTCTTCGGCTAGGCTAGTAATAGCTGATAATGTTTAGTCCTAGTGGAATCTAATAATAAACTTATGTCACTTTAGGAAATTAATTCATACTGAAAGTAAATGAACGAGGTATTTTGAACAAGGTTCCTCACCCTGTTTGAATGGTGAAAAAACATACTACAAAATAAGTACTGGTTCCACTTGATTAGGAATATGAACAAAAAAAATGAGGCAGGAAATCCTCAATTAGGAGGACTTAAACACACTGTTAATATTTGTAACTACATTTCAATCAATCTGCTCTGAGCAGCCCCAAAGATAATCAGAGTAATGTTTAGTATTTAAAAGGAAGAGAAACTCCATTTCCTGGGACTGTATTTGAAGTTTGAGACAGACTACTTCAATGTTTTATATTTTTGGCCTAGGTAATAGCTACCAATAATAACTGTGGCTCTCTTGCATTCACTGAAGTTCATACGTAACATGTTTTTGTATGGGTCACAAAAGGGCAGCAGGTATTTTAGAACTTGAAGTACAGGGTCTCTTTAGACACTTGGAAAAACTGGATTTCTCTCTCCTGTTTGTTTATAGTGGCTATACAAAACCCTACACAAACTACTATACCATAGCCCTTCTACAGGACAAATTTTTCAGTAATCATCATTGAAATAATGGGACAGCACTAACAAACCAGCTGGTAAACCCTCAATGTTTTTTTAATTAATAAAAAATTATTCAGATAGTCCACAAACTAGTAAGTTCAATTAATTCAGAATCACAGTGCTCCAAATATAGAAAGTCTCACATGTGTTTAATTTGAAAACAACAGAAGTCTGCCTCCCTTCCATCATTTCCTCTTTCCACCTCCCAACCAATTAAGTTTTGCTGAGCTCTTTTGTGAAATATTTTCCCTGGAGTGATTTTTAAAAAAAATTGTCTGAAAGTACAAATTCATGGAGTTCTTTGAACATACTGATAAACCCTTACCTACTTAATATAAGGAAACATCACATATTTCCTTGTATTCTTTGTTTTCAAATGGAGAAGCCAGTGATGAGATACATATGCTGCTGTAATAAAAATCTCATTCTCTCTCTCTCATATATGTAGAGCACTTAAGAGGTTTATTTACCACTTTCCTGCTTTGTTTTAATGTATCTGGTGGCGTCTTCTCGTTACCTGCCAAACATCCCACCTCTATAGGCTCCATAGAATACATTTATATCTAGTGTTAAACTACATTTGTATGTTGGAATTCCAAATCCTCACTCGAAGTATTTCATGGGGACAGCGGGGGGTTGCACTCTAGTCTATTTTGTATGAGAGAAAGTTGTGCTCATTTGAAAGCAAAGCATACTGGCGACATCACAAAACCACGGCAGGTGGCAAGTTCCCTGTCAACTACTGACTAACTTTAGAGAATAAGTGCTATACAATTTTTGCAACTTTTAGCTTGCGACACCATTTTATTCTCTAAAGTGCTATACAATTTTTGCAACTTTTAGCTTGCGACACCATTTTCATAATTCCCCTTGCACATCCTATCTGATGAACTCTGCCTTTTTCTGGTGTTGAATACGGAATTATTCTGACTAGCAAAGTGTGCTTTTGCAGATGGTGAAATCTGCAAGACACTCCATGACATGAATTCTGCTGACCTTAAACATCAAGATTTGCCACTTTTCTTATAGTTCTGCAAATTAAAGCATCTTCTCTCTATACCCTCACCCATCAAACAAATAATGTTGCATGTTGCCCTGGTTCTATTTTTAAATAGCAGCCTCCACCCTTTTCTCCTCATACATTAGCTTATTAGTAATTCAGCCAGTCAAGAGAGCTTCACACCACTACTTGCTTGGAGCAAGAAGTAAGGTTATTCTTCATATATCACATAACTCTTTACTTGTATCTCCTCTTTAGCAGATGCATGGTCTCCAATGTAAATAAAAAGTAGTATAAAGAAGCAAGATACAATTAAGACATAGGAGAGACCTACAAAATGCCCCCTTTTAGTTCTCACAATATCCAATTTAATTATTTACCCCCACATACAAACAAGTTTTGCTCCTTCCAAGGAAGGAGGGAACATCACTCCGACATTTTCTAGCCTGATTGCATTAGGATAAGGATGAAAGCTTTTTTAAATCTTCCATGGCACCATAACAGGAATACTTGTTCCAGCACAGAAGCTTCTCTGAAAGCTCTTCTTCGGAGAAGAACATAAACCCAAACAAGACAACTTTCTTACTGTGCATGGCCAGGTTTGAATTTAGTGGTAGAGTAGCAATTTTTTCAGATCAAATATTCGTATTGGTTCTCACAGTTTAGAGGTGAAATCTAGCAGGCACACCTTTTCTCCTCTGGTTTTGCTGAATCTAGCTTGCCCGAGCTTCCTCCATTGGCTGTATCAGATACTTGTGTCTTGTCAACACACTGTTCCATGCGCTTCATTATCAAGTCCAGGAGCGTTTCCACAGCTTTATCCACATTTTGCCCAGTGGCCGCACTTGTTTCAAAGTAGGGTATGCTGATATGTTGGATATGGGGGAAGAGAAGAGGAGAAAAAGGCCCATTAGAAAGGGTTTAAAAATGAGAACTGAACACCTGAGCTAACTCAGAATCAAAATATCCTTGAACAACTTTATTGTTGGGGAATAGGAATTCAAATCTGGCTGGCTTTTGCTGCCTTTAGTGGGCTGAATAAAACCCCAGATCTTAACAAAATATATTAAGGCAAGCACTGCATCTTGGACAAACTGATCAGTTTAATTAACTTGGAGGTTCTGGCTTTAAACCAGAATGGCAGCACTTACACAAACTATAGCGGAAAGAAACAGGCCTTAATAAAAAGCTTACTTTTTCCATGGTTCACTAAGGAAGAAATGTAATACCTGCTCACAGAGAGTTGGAACAGGAAGCAGAGCTGCATTGAACATCACTTATTTAGTGGATAAAAGAGTATTTTCAGTTATATTTCTAGAGTCGCACTCCCTAATATTTGGCAACGCGGATTTACAGGCTTCAGAAGGGCAGTAATTTCAGTTATATTTCTACAGTCGCACTCCCTAATATTTGGAAACCCGGATTTACAGGCTTCAGAAGGGCAGTATTTCACAGACAGTCCATTTTATGTCACCAGGTGGAAAAGTAAAGACAACATCTACAATAACTCTCCAGGAACGTGGAAAATGCCATACAAATGTAGACCTGTGGTCTATTCCAACAGAAGCATTTTTGGATATCATTTTTCACAGCTCCTACTGGCCAAAAACATAGATTGCTGTGGAAAGTAGCAGCCATCCCAGCCCAGAAGCCCCTTCACCTCTAAGTGCCTTTCTGTTCCCATTGGCCAAGAACAGAAAGCCACAGCCTCATTAAAAAAGACCTTGGTACCCGCACGCCCCACAGATATACACTCAGGTTCAGGAAAGGGTCTAAAATGACAGCATGATGCTTAGAGATGAATTAATCAAACCACCAGGTACAGGGTGATGGGTGGTATCCAAGTAGTGTCAAAGGGCAGTAAACTGACAACATCAGAGGGTGGCAACCTGACATGTAAGTTGTTAGTATCTGTATATATTGTGGTTTCTTTGCGGGAAGGGGGAAGGCGGGGGGAGGGGGAGAAGAGGGGAGGAAGAGACAGTCTTTGGATGACCTAAGGGGCAATGGAAATTTTCCATTGAGTCATTCCATTGTTATGAATTGTATATGCATTGTGGCTCAGTAGAGTCTACTGACAACTATTACTGAGCTTCGCTTAACAATAACCTAGCCTGGCATCTTCAATCCTTATCCAATTTGTGGTCTTTGGGGGCTCTCGGAGTCTGTGGTGGAGAATAAGTGCACATGTCAACATGGGACACACAATTGAGCACACTTCTGGTTTATCATCATCAACAATCATCCATCAGAGCCAGAGACCTGTGAGGACACTGCAGCAGTACATCCTGACCCCCTCCTGACTAACTACACCTGCAGATCAGATTATCCTGTTGGGCTGCAGATTGCCCACTACAGCTCTTCAGGGTACTCTCGTATCTAACCTTTTCAGAGAAAGGTTGTGTCTCGTCACGTGGAAGTGTTTCCATGTTTCTGATCATTGGTGTCCAATTCAAACTCCGTTTCCTTTTTGAGATGAGTGAACAGAATGGAATACAGTTCTGTGATGTGGAGTCACACAGCTCATTTATGTATAGTTTCAGTACTGCTTTCATCTCATTCTTTATTCATGCTAGGATTGTGCATCAGCCATCAAACAGCAAAAGAAAGCAGCAGTTCCCACTTTTGCAGTGTGGATGCAAAAAAGATCTCTTCCGGAAAAAGTTTCTTCCAAAGAAGCTTGTAGTCTAGACGTAACCTGAGTGGCCACCCAAGATTAACAGCTCACTTTTGAGTTGCTATCGTCCATTTGGAATGCAGCAACATAAACGAATAGTTCAAATTATCCCTTTCAGTGCATTTCATAACATGTCATTCCACTTGCTGCTGAATCAATTAAACAGTGCCACCCTATTATGGAATATTCGGTAACACTACTCTTGGCATTTTGCTATAATTCAAGAATACTATTCATTCTGCCAGTCACAAGTGAGATCCAGGACGGTCACAAGTGAGACCTGTCACTCTGGCCATTTAGTTTCCTTAATAGCCTCTTTGGAGGGTCTTTGTCAAAAGGCATTTTGAAAAAAAAAGTTTCAGTTCAACTGGTTCTTCACTGCTTTGTGGACAAATGTAGAATCTTTATAGATATGAGACAGTTTCTTTACAGAAGCCAGGCTGCATTGCATTAGGTTCTAGAGATTTTACAATTCTACTGCTTTTGATTAGTGTCAACCAGTTTCACTGGTTGTATAGTAAGCAATACTGATCCTAAATATGAACAATGCTTTAAAAAATAAAATCAAGTACAACATTCACTATTTGTCAGTCCTTTTGAAATCACCACTAATGCCAGGGAGAGATTGCCTGTTTAAGTTCACACCTTAGCCTCCTCATCCTTAAATGCCAACCTAGAATTCAGAAAAATGCCTCTTAGTTCTTGTTAGGCAAAGCAAAAATCAAAGTCATCCATTTGCTCCAGTGACTTCTCTTTTGATCCCTCAAATCTTTGTTACAACCTCACGGATCTCCCCCAAATACTCTTATGCAAGTGAATGTAGTTACTTTATTTATTAAACTATTAAGAACAATTCTTAGGTTTTCTACTTCTGATATCTAAATATGAATATTTTGGCTGAATGCTTGTGGTAGCCTCAGCTTTTCTTGGCACAGATTCCTATTACATTAAACCCTTGTCCTAGCAAATAAGATTGGTGAGGGGTAGAGGAGAATGATGCTTTTTTTTAAACTCTATAAATTTAATGAGCTAAGCTCATAAAATAAACACTAGTTCTAATAGGTAATTCAAACATAAGAGTAAGTTTTGTTAGATGTTCATACGATGAATCCCCATATATCTAAACAAATTGTAATTAGAAGAGGGTATTTGTTGTATCAGGCATTGCTCATTTTAAAAGTGTACAGGGCAGGATTTGGAATTGTATACTACAGAAGGAGGAGTTGAGATCATCAGTGCATTACTCTGTCTACTGAAAATCCTCTGCTTGTAAGGTCTTGTGGCCAGTAGATGCAGACATGATAGAGCAGGTTACCAGTCTCTAGCCAGGCAGACCTTCGTATACTCTAAAACTCACCATAATTTGTCTCAGTACTGACCATCTGAATTAGAATGTAGCTCTATAGTAATTATATTTTGCTTAAGGATCAATACCGTATAACATTTTCACCTTCTACACTATCAAACTTGTCACACTTTGAAACACATGGCCCACTAATTTCACAGTATGGCAAGGTGGACAGCACTGAAGATTTGCATGCCAGAGTAATTTCTATAGAGATTTGCAAATATGCTAATCAATTTAACTGGTTCCCCAAAATTCAAAGCTCCATGCTTGCAATTTAGGTTAATAAAGCCAAATTACATTGACAGAGATTAGCTAAAATGATTTTCTATCACAAAGTCACTTACCCATATTTATCTGCAAGGTCTCTTGCTTGTCTCTCATTGACTTCCCTCTGATCTGATAAGTCAGCCTTGTTACCAAGTAATACTATATCAGGATTCTCACAATATGCATTGGCTTGCAGTTGACCTTAAAAAAAAAAAAAACCTAGGAGTTAAGGGCATTTCAATACTTTTACGGGCCAATATTGGGAAGACCAATTTTTTGGGGTTAAGGGCATTTCAATACTTTTAAGGGCCAATATTGGGAAGACCAATTTTTTTGTACCATATGGACTTTTCATAATGCATTGGCTCATTAAAATGATTTTTCTATAGAGGAAAATGGAACAGATGCAATTAGGAATTTATTTCCAGTAAATTATTTATTTTCCCCTCCATACAACCTAGCAAGAGGTGTTTACATATAGTGCTTCAGTCTACAAGTAGATATTAGTACAATTTTGCTTATTCAAAGAAACCCATTAGGAGATCATAGAAATAAAGGCAAATCCAAATGCTTTTTGCAAGCAATTGTTTAGATATTTGAAGCCTAATCTTCACTTGGGATAGAACTACGTAGATTCACTGAATCAGTGGAGCTAGGCAATTTTATTCCAGGTGTTTTAAACAAAATATTTAAGTAATTTCCTTATGCTTACCCCAATTTTGAGCTAAGAAGTGATGAGAAGTGCAGAAGACATACGAATGTGGAAGAATTTCAGAGGAGGGGTGATGCAAAGGAATAAATGAAGTAGCTAGAGTCTAATGCATTAACATTTTAGTAACCAACAGTGAAATCAAGTCGGAGCATGGCTTTTGTTATTTCTGTTAAATAAAGCTTTAGCTTGCTGCGAAGGGATTTATCTGTATTCCCACGTTGCCCTGTACAGTGTTCTTCTTGTACTGGCTTGTTTGTATACTCCCAACGAAACACTTCTGCTTGTTAATCTGAAGAAGTGGGTTGTGTCCACGAAAGCGCATGATACCATCTACATTTTTTGTTAGTCTCCAAGGTGCTAGAAGACTATTTGTTGTTTAAGTTTAAGCAGAAGTTTGTTAGCCAACTAACAGCAAGTCCTAATTATGGAGAATCTGAAATGAAATCTAGTTATCTTTTGTATGTTGTTTTTTTCTTCAGTATAATAGCTTATCCACAGTGTACCGGACAAGAATAAGTATACACCCTGATTTTAACAGTTATTTTAAATCATGATGATTCATGCTAGCAATTTCATTTTAACCCTCTCTTCAGGTTACTTCACATGTTTCTGCATCAGATATTCTTGCCTTGCAAAAAAGCCCTTCAATTCAATGTCTAAATCCTGGTCTTTCTGAAGTCAGAGGTCAACTGGCAGAAGATGCAAGAAGTAACCATATTCAAAATACAGAATTAAGTGGCAGGTTTATTGTTAAGATTCAGAATAAATATAGTCAATCGTTAGGAGTTATAAACATGCACTGCACTAACACTGCCTTTCAGAAGCCTCAAACATCAACATTATTAAAACTTCCAAGAATATCCCATTTTAGGGATGGGGGGGGGGGGAAAAAAATGAAGCACCAAAGTTCAATGGCATGATCATGGTCACAACTAAAACAATATCTCTTGGAACAGAAGCCTGAACTCCTTTACAGTATATCTACACAGCAGCATTATTCTGAAATAACAGTGCGCATCTACACTGTAGGCCTTTATTTCTAAATAATGCTGAAATAATGTCGAGTTTGAGGACTTCTTCTCTGACTCATGGTAACCATCATTTCATGAGGAGTAAGGGATGTCAAAGGAAGTGTGTTTTCCCTTGGACTTCCTGCAGTGTAGGCCGCACCAAAAGCCAAGTTAAGCTATTTCAACTTAAGCTATGCAATTGACATAGCTGAAGTTGTGTAGCTTAATTCAACTTTAGCCCTGCTGTGTAGACATGTCCTTAGTGTCACCTCTCCGAAATTTATTCTAGTCAGCATACACTGCTGCCTCTTGGATGCTGATGGAACTAGATTTCTTAATAGGTTACGCCAAATGCAAAGCAAAAGACTATTGAAGTATCTTTCTTTTATTTGGCACACTGTCTTTAAAAGCCTGATTAACCAAACCTTAGGCACAGTACAGTATCAAAGACAGATAAGACTGTCTTTAAAAGCCTGATTAACCTTAGGCACAGTACAGTATCAAAGACAGATAAATACCCGAAGATAAAAATACAAGTAATAAAATCAGGATAATGCAACACAGCCCAAATAGTGATCATCAAAATGTAACCATCCATGATCAGTACATAAGCACGTATATACTTTGACTGATTTTGTTTTACAATCCCCAAAACTGACCACCACAAACCCCTCCATATAACACCAACCCAACCTAGAAAAGGCTAGAGGGATAAAAGGCTAGAGGGATAAAAAGTATTTTGCAGAAGGCTCTGAACGTTAACAAGTCCATGTACATTTTCCAGAGCTTGGACTTCAGAGCTCACCTACCCAAGCCAGGTGGTTCATGATCCCAGGGGCTTGGGTAGGTGTGACTTGAAAACAGAGGACTAGTGTTTGAAATGTATATAAAGGGGACAATATGCAGTAACCTCGAGAATACAAAAAGCTTCTAGCTATCAGATACATGCAAGCGGTTTTCTTTTACTTACTCATCCAGTTTCTGACATTTAAGAAGCTCTGTTGACTGGTGAGATCAAACATTAATAAAAAGCCCATGGCATCTCTGAAAAATGCTGTGGTAAGACTTCGAAATCTGAAGGAACAAATAAGCAGTTCTGTTAACAGACGGACCTCTGAAATTACTAGGTAATCATTTTCTAATGCAAGTGTATTGAAGGGGGGGAAAAAAAAAAAAGTAGTAATACTTCAAGAGAACAAAAAAAGAACCACCCCAAACAAAAAAACCCACACCACGCATTTTACCAAATCTCTTTTGCAAGAGACCATTTAGAAGATATATATATCAAACCCAGACAAGTAGCCCAGTTTATCAACCAAATGTTCTCATAATGGTCAAAAAGCCTGTGGCATCCTTTTGGCTAGATTCAGTATAGCCATCATGAGTTATTTATCAAAACAGAATTCATGTAATTTACCAGAGGATGCCTAGATGTTCAAGAATGTATGTGGTCAATGACAACTCCATTAATTCAAATTCTCTGTCCTTTGGACTAGCCTAAAAATTAGTATGTTGCTTATTTAATCACGATACAGATGCACTGAGTGCACCCCTAATCATTGGGGCAGAAATCATTCAAATAATGACCACAGGAAGAGAATATTGCAAGGAAACTGTTACATGATGGGTAACCACCACCTAATATGATGGATATGAAAAAATTCTCTGGCCATTTAATCACTGTTTAGAAAAAAGACCTTAGTTGAGAGGTGGGCTAGTTTCATCTAGCGAGGCCTTGATTTATCTGTAGTTTACAAGCTGAGCTCAAACTGATGTTAGACTGTATTCACAAATGACATTTTGCAGGTTCTCCACAAAGCAATGGACCCAGAAGTCAAAACACAGCCTCAATTTTCTGGCACAGAACTACAAGCCAGTTTCTTAATGAGAAATACTTTCATACAGAGCTAGAGAACTACAAAATGGAGTTCAATGCTCTGTCTTGTGTACATGAGGATTTACCACCACAAAAGCCACCACATAATCCGGCACATCTGTCAGTAGCAGATGTGGTAGATAAGATACCCAAGAGCACATGCCTCAAAATTAAAACGAACTGCAGCTACAGAAGCAACCACATTCTTGTCATTGGAAAGCCTCACAAGTTCTCTTTTGAAGAATTTTTATACGGGATGGCTAAATGTAGCTATCAAAGAGATAATGGGATAGACTCAAACAAAAATAGGTGTTTTAGTAGATGAATATTAATATAGCACCATAGTAAGTATGTTCACTGTATACAAAAAACACAAAAACAGAACCTCTATCTTGAGGGATTTATAATTTAGACAACACAGACTGGATGGGTGTGTGGCAGAGTGCTTGAGCTATGATACGAGTCCAGTTCCTTGTTTGCCAGACATTTATGGACTTCGCTCAGGGATGACTAGGATATACAGAGCCTGTGTCTTCAGGAAGACTTGAAATAGGAGCATGGAATCATGGTGGTTCAAGCCAAAATTAGTCTTTCCAGGCACACAGAAGCCACACAAAAAGGTGACAAAAAAGGCACAGACAATGCAGCTGCTCTTGTTTACTACTGGTCTGATTTTGTTCTCTTCTCCTCTCCACTCCATTTTGCAGTAAGCATTTTTTCCTGCAATGCTTTCATATTCCCGTTAATGAACTTAGACTGCTGTTTCCCAGCTCAGTGTCTCAACACTATTTCCTGCTATAAGACAGATTTCTCCCCTCCCCCAACGCACACATTTCTGTGTGTTGGCACAGTCAGTATTTACTCAAGAATAAGTCCAACCATATACTGTATGCTAGCAAACCACCACGAACTTTACTGCTGCTCTAGTACAATACAAAAGAAATTTATTCAGTATGATCACAGCAAAGCAGCAACAATTTAAAAGCATCCTTCCTGAGCATGTGGTAAGTTTTTACTTGCTGTGACAACCAAAGTCTGTATAAGAAGGTCAGTGATTTTCCCTAACTCACTTGAATAGGAGGTTTAAATTTTAGAAAGTTGCACTGGATTCTGAATAACTGCATATAAGATACTGAAGTCTTTGCATTACCTTTCCTGCCCAGCGGTGTCCCAGAGCTGTAGATGAACCTTAAAGGCTTTTCCTGAAGATCCATTTGGTCCTCTGCTATTGTATATCTAACAAATACAGAGCAGAATCAGAAGACTGCTTTTTTATTGACTATACAGTCTTTTGCTTAGCTTATGAATGTCTTTACCATTACTAAAAATTTCCACACAGTGCTGAACTGAAAACACATTCAAGAACAAAAACAGAGAATAAGTTGGGATGTTATCAACAATAGCTTATTCCTGCTCCAGAAATTCACATTCACTAATATTCCACTTCTAAGGGCCTCTGGCAAACAATATTTCAAAACCCAAGACAATACTGTCTTCTGAAGAGGACTGGTGCGTATTTAATACTCTTATTTAGACACTGATTCTGCTCATCTCAGTATATGAAAGTGCTGAAATGACCATCTCAATTTAATTTGTGTGTTCTTGTGAACAGTTACAACAGGTTGGCGAAATGAACCTTGCTACTCAAAGAAACAGGCATTTAAAAAAATAGTGTTAGACAGTTATTGGCTATGTTTATTAAGTGGCACTACAAAATATTTTGCACATAGAAAGCATTGTGCCCCTTTGCCGCGTCTGTTTTCAATGGTCACTACATTTATTTTCAATTAAGTGATACAACAAGAGACATTAAGGCAAGCACATAAGGTCTATTTCTGTTGTCTAGGGTAGCTTTACTGATTCAGCATCAGAATGTTCAGAAACAGTGTCTGCAAAGTCATTTTTATATAGCCTTTGAGTTAAAATATATGCATGCACAACCAATAAAACAATTTGCATGTAGTCCTTTATCATATGGCACTTATTTCCTTCATGGTAGGTAACCATGTTGATGATTATCGTACAAAAACCTAACTAGAACCCTATGCATCAACCCACACCATCAAGTTCTTCAGAACAGATTATGTGCTTAGTGACATATTTGTAACTCATGGAGGGCAGCAAGATTGACAACACGACACCGAGGGCAGAATATAGCCACCAAAACTGCCATTACTGGTGATTATACCTGAAAAACAATTAGTACAACGTGGCTTGTCACTAAATCCAGCTTAAGTTTGCAGGTAAAGAAGAGCCAAGACACTAAAACAATCGCTTGTAAGCAATCACATTGTATGTAGATGTAGCCACACAGACATGGAACCTACATTTATTTCTACAAATTGGCTTTAAGACTAGAACTACACATAAATGACACATTACATTTAACTTTTTAGTAAGTGCCTCACTGAAAAAGGATTCGGTCAGACAGACCTAAAAAGGAAGACTCTGAAGGCCAATAAGACTCCAACTGGAGCACAACTTTCCCATCCCAAACAAAATAAACTTCAGTTTCCATGTCAGGATAAGCCTATTCGAATTTGGAGTTAAGCTTTCGGGAAGCCCTTTTGAATGAGTTCTCTATATGTATGCCAAGCCATATGTTCAGGGGATGAGCAATCACGAATAGTGAGTGGACCACAAGTGGCCCTCCATCTCAGTGGGTTGCCTCTGAAGCCTTGTGGCCCCCATGTCTGAATTCCCTCACTTGCTCCTCCCCCTTTTATTCGAAACAGTTGACTCTTAGCATTCCAGCTCTTGGAGGAAGAGGGAGGAGCAGGGATGGAGCGTAAGTCAGGCGATTCATGCGCTTTGAGAGATGGTGGAAGGGAGGCATAGGAAGTGCAGAGTTCTGGTGCCCCAGTGCAAAAGAGGCGTGTGGGAAAAGCAGGAAGCCAGGAGGTTGCAGGTGGAGCTCCAGTGGGCTGGACCGCAAGTTACCCACCATCGCTCTAGTTTGAAATGGAATTCAGGATGCCCCATGGCCTGTTATACAGGTTAGACTAGATGTCACAGTGATCCATTCTGATCTTAACATGAAGGTTAATTTACTGTAAAAGAAAATGTGCAAAAATGGCAGCTTATTTCAGAGATCTGTGTCATCTGTGTGTTCAGAATAATAATTTCTGCTTATTTCACCAGCCCAGATAAATAAGCGCTTTACTCTGGTTGGCGCTGTAAAGCTAACAAAACTCTGGGAGAATGAAGTGTAATACTTCAGCTTTCACTGTGGACGTATTGATCGAGGACTGTCTATGCACAAACTTGCACTGAAATAAAATAATGAGTTACTTCTGTGCATATTTGTATGTAGATATACACATGATCAGAATTTGATACTCTTATTCTTCTTGCATAGTAGCTTACTCCATAGTGGGACTCATTCTGGATAGTACCTTATGCCACAAGGAATAAGGGATCAATATATGATTGAAGTGCACAAATAAGAACGAACCCAATTTTATTGTGTACTGCCAACAGTTAGCAATGGTAGCTTTTTATTTATCAGTGGATGTCAACAAATATGGAACTTCAAAACACACTAAACTAGCTGCAAACCACAGTGAGGCTGGTCAGTTTTAATAGCCTCTTTAATTAACAGTTCTAATTCGTTTAAAAACTGAATTTACAGATTTAGTAATAGGCAATAAGCAGGAGTTGGAGGTTTTTTTTGTTTTTTTAAATAAATACATCACCCAGTAAGCCACAGAGTTTTTTGCTTGTATACAAAAGGGCTTTTATTTTGTGGCCTCAATACTCTTAAAAGGAGGACAATCATTTGTGAGATTGCAACCGCAATATGCCTTCTCATAGGAAGCATACATTTATCTTTCTTCTTCTAAAATTCCTAGGATTGCCTCCTTAATACTTTTAGCATTGCAAATTTTAAAGAATGTACCTCCCTGGTTTTAGCACTGACACAGACACTGATCACACACTCTTCCTTCAACTTCCCTTACTCCTTGTGAAATCAGCATTACAGAAGTTGGCGTTAGAAGCCCGTTATTTTGAAATTATTTCAAAATAACGGGCTTGCTGTGTAGATGTGCATTCTGTTATTTCAAAATAACATGAGTTATTTTAAAGTAAGTGTGCAATGTAGACACAGCAAATCAGTTGTAGAACTAGGAGTAGGGTACAGGAGTAGCGGCAGTTACACCGGGAAGGCGAGCGCTCCAGCCGGGGCCTCCCTGCCGTGACGTCCCCTCATGCTAACTAGAGGGTGCACTTTTCTCCCTGGTTCCGAGGGGAGGCAGTCCCAGAACCCATGAAAGGAATCAGGTTGACAGTACAGAAGATAATCATCTTATTTAATATTAAGGAACCAATATGCCCCAGTTCAAGCTAGCTCACACTGTACTATAAGAGTAGAACTGTAGCTTGAAAGGGCCACCTACAGAGATATAAGGCTGGTTCAAATCACAGCCTCATTACTAAAGTGAGTCAAGGTAGTGACTAGTTTGTGCTATAGCAGTGGTCCCCAATGCAGTGTCCGTGGGCGCCATGGCACCCGCCGAGGCACTTGTGCGCGCCTGCCAAGTGCCGGCTCTAGGCACCAGCAAACCAAGCACGTGCTTGGGGCGGCACATTGCCAGGGGTGGCATTCCGGCCAACCCTGAGACACACTGGCCAGAGAACTCCTAGCCCTTACCACCCGACGTGGGCCTCCCTGTGGCCATTCAAGGCAATGGGAGGGGAGGGGTGCGTGCAGCAAGTCCCGCTCGTAGCCTCACCGTGATTGGCTGAGGCGCCATGTCATCACGGTTCTGGGACTGCCTCCCCTCGGAACCAGGGAGAAAAGTGCACCCTCTAGTTAGCATGAGGGGACGTCACGGCAGGGAGGCCCCGGCTGGAGCGCTGGCTACACAGC